TATATATATATATATATATATATATATATATATATATATATAAAGCTATCTCTTTTACACCCGGCGTATAACGCGCACACTTAAGAGTTTCGATCGTATTTTTTGTGTGTTCAAAGTGCTTGTTATACGCCGGATTTTACGGTATATATTTTAAAATTAAATAAATAATGCCTTAAAAGTATGAAACAGTTTTTATTGGGAAATATATATTTTTTGAAACATAATCTAATTCAAATAAAAACAAAGAATATTTAAATATTTTATAGAAACAAATTTTTACTTGTTCTATACATGCAAACGTTTTATGCTGATATTTTGTTTAATTACTTAAGAAAAACAACAATATATATAGACATTGAAACAAAATTTAAAAATTCGTAAATAAATTTAATTATTCTAATTTGTTGCATTTCCAATAATAGACGATAAACTAGTTGTTTATTTAATATAAAATGGATTTATATGTAGAGAAGTAAACCAGTATCATTTTGAAATAAATACATAATGCAAGATATACCGTAACATTTTTTTTTCTTTTGTAACAATGAATAATAATTTTATTTAAAAAAATGCATTTTTTTAAAAATGGTTCGTAATTAAAATTATAAGATAATGAATGATTTTTTCTCAGTTACTGTGTAAAGACATATCTTACGAATATATCATATATCAAGTAAAAGAGTTTATTTCTTATTTTGTCTTACTTCTTATTCATATATTCAAGAAATCTGAACTTCTTACGTTTGATTAAAATTATTTTATAGAAAAATTTGTTAACATTTGATTTAAATTTAAATAGCATCATTAAAAAATAATGAGGGATAAATTTAAGGAAAGATAACAAAGGATATTCTCTTAATCCTATATGTTAGCAACATTGCGGGTCATTTAGTGGGTCAGCTTATCTCTCAAAATACTCTCGCCGTACTTTTATAAAGAAAGAACGAGTGACCCGCTACCAATGTCCAAGAAATCGGTCATTACGATAGTGGAAGCTTGGTGGTCTAGGCCGAAATCACGATGGGTGGCCTCACACACCTCAATGTCTTTGCAAGATGTACTGTGACTGCTGTGAGGCATAGGGATGAGGTTTTAGAATCATATGTGCTCTCATTTTCACAGGTACAGTTAGTCCTGATTTTCTTTTAAAGGATGGTAACGTAAAGCACATAAGGCTCATCTGTTCGAAAAATTTCTGGAGAGGAAAGATATTCGCGGAATGGATTGACCTGTTAGATCAGACCTCATAAGTATAAAGTATGCTATGGACGCTTTGGGGAGCACAGTTGCAATTCGAAACTCCCCTCCGAGTACCATCCAAGACCTGAAAAACAGACTTACTGAAAGAGTGGGGTTAATTGATAGATAACTATAAATTCACTTATTTCCAGTATATCATCACGGTAAGAGGCCTGTTTATCTGAAACAGAGGGACCTTATTAACCCTTATTAACATATTTTTTTATTTCAATTTCTACTATTAGTTCACACTCTCCATATCTTCTTGTTCAATATCCCAGTTATTAATAAAATACTATTTCAATTCCCACTATATTAGCTCACACTCTCTCTATATTTATTATTTTTTTTTTATTTATCTTGATGGGATTATCAATCTTTAATAAAATACATTTTAAAGCACTCAATCTAGCTGAAATTTTATATACATGATTATTTTGGACGAGATTACAATAATTTAATTATACTTAATAAAAATTAATCTATTAAAACTAATTCTTTCAAGAATTACAAATGCAGCTACGTTGGCATCATTTTTGGCGACTTGTGTCAAAACTTGAAAAGGTTTTTTCTCACGTTTTAAAGCATTCAGTTGAACTGAAATTTTATATACATGATTATTTTGGATGACAATACGATACTTTAATGATAATTAATAAAAATTCAATTACCACTTAATGTTGTGATTCTGTCCTATGTATGTACATATTTATATTAATCGTAACTATTTAATAAAAAGAAGCTAAAATAAAATTTTTCTTTGTTGATCTAAGTAGGAATTGATTTAATTTTTTTTACATTACTTATTATTCATAAACTCAACTTCAAATGCATTTTTTAAGCTTGTAGTGTATGACACTTGATGTTAATAAAGTTTTTCCAAATATTAATTCATTAACTCTATTTAATTCATGAATAGAGAAAGAAACAAAAATAAGAGCCCAACACCACGTATAAAAAGGAAAAACACTCGTTGTGTCTCTGCAGTGTAATGGATACCACGTTAGACTTCTAATCCGAAGGTCGTGGTTTCGAATTCCACCTGGGATGGAGTAATTTCTGAGAATGTGATTTCTTTTTACTATGCTATTTTACCGGAATAATTAAATTTAATTAATGAATAAGTAGTAACAAACAAAAAAAAATGGTACAACACCACATATAGCAAGGAAAATGAAAAATTGCAAGGAAAATCACTTTCTATTTTGCCACTTAATAGTATGATTCTAGCATATGTATATACATATTTATATTAATTATAGATATTTAATGAAAAGTAACTAAAATAAAATTTTTCTTTGATGACATATATAGGATTTAACTTATTCTTTTTTTTTTATTATTACTTTTTATTATATTCTCTGCAATTTCTGTTTCATACCTTCCGATTTTTCAAAGATCGCACGATCATACATTTGTATTTTAACTGAATGGTTATTTTTGCATTCTACAGGGTCCCTTATATTAACCTCCCCTGTTCCGTAAAGCAATTACAAACTAACAAAACGAGATACAGGAAAAAATCTTTTTTTGTAACAAATACGATTCAATTTTATATTAATTGGTTTTAAAAGTTATCTCTACTAAATGGCGTCTTCTAATGGTGATATATTGACGAAGTTGTCCATAATTTATTTTATCTTCATCGAAATAATAAGGACCCCACATACCAAATTCAACAATGACGTTCGCACCATACTGTCACACGAAGACTACGCAGTGGTCATTGGTGAAGCAGCTTAGGGTTTTCTGTGTGTGTTGTTGTGGTTAATGCCAACAGTCTGACGAAGTCAGATTAAGGCCCACGAAGTTCATCATGGCAAGGAGCTAGAAGTACCCCTGTCATTGGCCTTGACCTTGAGCACTATACAGCTGACAGTACGAATTAGCACGGAGAAATTCCCCGAAGGGACGATAGATGGAGACACCTCCTATCTCCACCTCCAATATTTAGGCATGGAACTGAAAGGGAGTGAAGTATTCTCCAGTCCCCTGCACTTGTGACGCAGCCCATAAAACTTTCGTACCCACTTATTTAACGAGCACCTACTCCGTGTGTACTCCGAGGGTATTTGGTGGCCTCGGGCATCGAAACCAGACTTTCCGGAATGGAGTCCGATGCTCTAACCACTAGGCTGCTCACGAGCCTCATCAGACAAAAATCAAAGGAGCACTAGGATGATTGTTCTGAGGAAATTTTGGAAAAGACTTTGTCAATGTATCACCATTGAAGTAAATAAAATTTTTAAAACTAATTAATATAAAATGGCATCGTATTTGTTGTTCACAAATAAAATACTTCTATGTATCTTGTTTTGATTGCTTGTGTCTTTTGAAACAGGGGAGATTAATATGCCGGACCTTATATAATTTTTTTTTATTATTTATACATTCCAATTTTCATTAAAATCTGTCCAGTAGTTCAAAAGATATTAAACAAAATCTAAAAATTCTCTTAATTTTGAGCACCAATGTAGATAAAAAAAACCCCTTAAAATTATTTAATAGTATAGGTCATCAAATGAGAGCCATACCAGTTTCATTCCTTAAAAGAATGCCATCTTTTCTAACTGACATTCTTATCCCAATTAGATTTAACACAAATTAATGTAAATTTATATTATTTTCTGGGAACCCTTCTGTAAATTTATTCGTTTTCGATTAGAAAGAAGCCCCTTTTTTAAAGTTAATCTAGGAAAGAAGTCTTTTATTCAGATTTTTCTCAATATATGAAGAAAAAAGATGGTTCGAATTCCAACTATATTCCTTCTCAGTGTCGAGAATAATACCAATCCTTTATGTTTCACAGAAATCTTTTGTTAAAGTAAACATAAAAATCAGCTGAAGAAATTACACAATGCTAAAGGTCTTGCATTTTTCTGATTAAGAGAAAAACGAACAAAATTATTCATCCGTTTCTGAAAATTTCTTCAGGCATAGAAATATCATTCATTATTTTTAAAATAGACTTTTAAGCGAAGCAAACCTTCAAGCTCATTTAGAAGTGCAAGATTTTCAAAATAAAGAAATGATATTTTAAGGAGTAAATTTTATATTTGATAAAGAAACAAAGGTTAAAAAGATGAGAAAAAGAGCAAAGAAATAAAGCGGAGGAAATTAAGTGATGCATTGTTTGATCAAATTAGTGCAGAAGTTTGAAATTCAAATATTTATGCAGAAAAATATTATCCACTCGAAGATGAAATTTACTTAAAAATAGAATACACTTCAGGGTAAATAAAGTATTGTAAGAAATAATTGAATACAAAGTATGTGGAATCAGGATATCTACTCATTTGCGTATTAAGATAGCAGTGATTATATATATTTGAAAAAAAAATTATGCGAGAGAAATAATAATAAATATTTCATTGTGAAAGATTTCTACTAGAGAAAAAATGAAACCTTTTAAATAACCAAGTTGTGTATGAATATACTGACAAATAATTATTCAAAAGCATTGGAAAACTATTTCTGAGCGAAAAATTGATGATTTTCATTTTTTTCTAAAAACAAAAGTTAAGCTATTGTTGTATTGTTGTTAAAAATCATTGTAGTTTGAATTCAGATCACCTTTTATTATTTTTAAAGATAAGCAGTTAACATATAAAATTCTAAAATAATTCTAAAGGGATGCATTTACAAACTAAAAAATGGCCATAATTTAATCAACAGGTAATTATTTTGCTATTATTCCGAAGACCCTTAAGGTATCCGACTAGATTGAAAAGATGTTTTTCAGGTGTTTAATGTTGATTCATTAGAAAAAAAAGAGAAATATAAGCATTGGAGAAGAAGACGGAACAATAATAAAAGAAGAGATAATATAAGTTAAGTAGTTTTTCTTAACATAGAATATTATGCTAAAATTTATAGAAAATATTTTTTTTTCTAAAACAAGCGTGATACGTGTTTTTTATTTAATAATTATAATTCTTTAAACCTATTTATGTTTTCGAACGATAAAATTCTTTTGAAAATTAGGTCCGGAACCTAGATGCTTTAAGTTTTTAATATTTATTTGCTTACCTTGATTTTAAAATAAATAGTTTTAATAATTTGTCCGAGTATGTCGTTATTTCCCCATTTGAATGTTTTTGCTCCTCATTTAAAATTAAATTTCAGCAGTTTATTCACTTTCTTTTCCAAAGTTAATTTGGCATTTGATTGTATTGTTAAAGTTATATAAAAGTGCCAATTGGGTGGCGTGGTTGGCTTGTTGCTGGTCTTCTGCATTTAAGGTTCCGGGTTCGATTCCGGCCAAATTCGGTGGAAATCCATGATGGAGAAATTCAACAACGACCATGTCGTATGAGTTTGCTGCATATAAAAATCCCTAGAGGGTCTGTTTGGCTTGGGTGCTCTCTGCAAAATTACATTCTGGTACAGGTTAGCATCGTCAGAGCTCAGAAGCCTCCCTCTAGGGAATAAACTGGGAGAACACGATTAGATACTTCCTGAATACTAATTTATGGCACAAAATGGAGCATGGTAATATAGTAGAGTTCTTTGAAAACATAGAACTCCAGTCGTTATAAAAAAAAATATTCCAATTAAATAAATAAAAAATGATAATTTTTTAGATTAAATGTAGCTTTAATGACGAATTTAAACTTTGAAGGTAATAAGACGATGGAATAAAATAAAAGTACTGTGTTGCTTAACGCTTTCAATCAGTAAAATATAAGCTATATAAACCCTCCGTTAGCATCGTGAATCTTTCAGGTATATAGAAATAGTTTCAGTACTGCATTCGCATGGTGGGCTAGAACACAGCCCTCTTTCTTCTATCTGCCTTTCGTCACTCACCCTAGGATTCAGTGTCAAGTACGAAGACGATGTCTTCATATTTCGGGCGGCAAGAGCCATTGAATCTGATGGATGTAGCGTGCCCAACAACGTAAGTGTTTATGATTTTGTACTATTTCGTTAATTTTGATTTTTTGTCCTTGTAAAATAGTGTAGTTTTCAATTTTATACGAAAACAATTCGAAGCAAGTATTTTTTTAAGTTTTGTTTGATCGTTTTATTTATTTATTTATTATTTTAACCAGGGATAGAAATACATCTGACAAATGCCGCGCACCTAGCCAATGACTGTTTTTTTTTTTATTTAATCATCAATGTAGCTGGAATAAACTTCTACAATATCTTTTTAGAAATCAGAATCTATAGATTATCGCGCATATATCTAGAAAAACTAGGTCATGAACTTTTGAAACAGCACTTACGAAGACGGACTGTATGGTACATCCACATGCCTCATTGATTTTGACTCAGGAAATATCTGATACACAACTCCCCATTTAAGACGAAAAATCAAGATAGACATCACCAGAAACTTGGAAAAGAAGGCGATGTTCCTTATTGTCAGGACATCAAGAAAGAATTATTAAAATTTTATAATGTATTATACGAAAATTCCATGTGTCTTGAACATTGTAAGGTGATTTGTGAAAACGGCAATGAGGCATCTTAACATGTAAACAGTGGTGACACCGTGATAACTAACCCTTATCATTTGATGTTTTATCGCTTAAATATCTCAATTCTTGATTATATATTAAATATTATTTAAAATAAAATGTTTTTTGATGACAAATCTCACTAATTAAATGATTAAATCATCTTTCAAACGTAAGTATGAAGTGATGCATCTCAGAGATGCGACGCGCTTATGGATGGAACTTTTTGAAACACACCTAGTTAAGGGTTAAAAGAACTACAGTTACTTTAATCTTTTCTGCAGGGAGGATGACTCCCATCAAATACAATTGAAGCTCAAAGTCTGAACGTTATTGTGGGGTAGTAGTTGGGTTATTCCATAGATTCGCTCACGCATCTTTATTACCTGAGTGAGGTTCAAAATTGCGAAATCCGTTGAAAGTGACTATCGTGTTGTTCGAATTACCGCGTTAATATACAATCAATCAGTCAAGTAAAAGGGTTTTACAAAAGAAGTATTTCGTTTTCATGTTTTAAATATTGATACATCTTGTGAAACTGAGAAGAAATATCACATACTATTTCCCATGGATATACCATACTCG